TGACTTCATTAGTTGTGGTTGCTTTGTTTGAATAATCAGCATACATGGACACACAGGCTTTGTTCAATGCCAGTGGCAGGTCATTGGTAAAAATAGAAAAGAGTAGAGGGCCTGGAGAGCTGCCCTGCGGTTCACCACACACTACATTTTTGATATTAGAGAGGCTTCCATTAAAGAAAACCCTTTGAGTTGTATTAGATAGATAGCTCTGAATCCACGATATGGCAGAGGTTGAAAAGACATAAAACGACAGGTTATGGTCAATAATATCAAAGGCTGCACTGAAATCTAACAGTACAGTCGTGGTCAAAAGTTTTGAGAATGACACAAATATTAATTTTCACAAAGTCTGCTGTCTCAGTTTTTATGATGGCAATTTGCATATACTCCAGAATGTTATGAAGAGTGATCAGATGAATTGCAATTAATTGCAAAGTCCCTCTTTGCCATGAAAATGAACTTAATCCCAATAAAACATTTCCACTGCATTTCAGCCCTGCCACAAAAGGACCAGCTGACATCATGTCAGTGATTCTCTCGTTAACACAGGTGACAGTGTTGATGAGGACAAGGCTGGAGATCACTCTGTCATGCTGATTGAGTTAGAATAACAGACTGGAAGCTTTAAAAGGAGGGTGGTGCTTGAAATCATTGTTCTTCCTCTGTTAACCATGGTTACCTGCAAGGAAACACGTGCCGTCATCATTGCTTTGCACAAAAAGGGCTTCACAGGCAAGGATATTGCTGCTAGTAACATTGCACCTAAATCAACCATTTATCGGATCATCAAGAACTTCAAGGAGAGAGGTTCAATTGTTGTGAAGAAAGCTTCAGGGCGCCCAAGAAAGTCCAGCAAGCGCCAGGACCGTCTCCTAAAGTTGATTCAGCTGCGGGATCGGGGCACCACCAGTGCAGAGCTTGCTCAGGAATGGCAGCAGGGACAGACTGATATTCTGCAACAGGTATAGGGATTGGACTGCTGAGGACTGGGGTAAAGTCATTTTCTCTGATGAATCCCCTTTCCGATTGTTTGGGGCATCCGGAAAAAACTTGTCCGGAGAAGACAAGGTGAGCGCTACCATCAGTCCTGTGTCATGCCAACAGTAAAGCATCCTGAGGCCATTCATGTGTGGGGTTGCTTCTCAACCAAGGTAGTGGGCTCACTCACAATTTTGCCTAACTACACAGCCATGAATAAAGAATGGTACCAACACATCCTCCGAGAGCAACTTCTCCCAACCATCCAAGAACAGTTTGGTGACGAACAATGCCTTTTCCAGCATGATGGAGCACCTTGCCATAAGGCAAAAGTGATAACTAAGTGGCTCGGGGAACAAAACATCAACATTTTGGGTCCATGTCCAGGAAACTCCCCAGACCTTAATCCCATTGAGAACTTGTGGTCAATCCTCAAGAGGCAGGTGGACAAACAAAAACTCACAAATTCTGACAAACTCCAAGCATTGATTATGCAAGAATGGGCTGCCATCAGTCAGGATGTGGCCCAGAAGTTAATTGACAGCATGCCAGGGCGGATTGCAGAGGTCTTGAAAAAGAAGGGTCAACACTGCAAATATTGACTCTTTGCATAAACTTAATGTAATTGTCAATAAAAGCCTTTGACACTTATGGAATGCTTGTAATTATACTTCAGTATACCATAGTAACATCTGACAAAAATATCTAAAAACACTGAAGCAGCAAACTTTGTGAAGACCAATACTTGTGTAATTCTCAAAACTTTTGACCACGACTGTACAGCTCCCACAATCTTCTTATTAGCAATTTCTTTCAACCAATCATGTCATTTTTGTCAGTGCAGTACATAGCATGCTGAAAGTCTGTTGTCTATTTGTTTACAGAGAAATAGCATTGTATTTGGTCAAACACCATTTTTTCCAACAGTTTGCTAAGGGCTTGCAGCAAGCTGATAGGTCTGCTATTTGAACCAGTAAAGGCTGCTTTACCACTCTTGGGTAGCGGAATGACTTTGGCTTCCCTCCAGGCCTGAGAACAAACACCTTCCTCTAGACTTAGATTAAAGATATGACAGATAGGAGTGGCCATGGAGTCAGGTACCATCCTCAGTAGCTTTCCATCTAAGTTGTCAATGCCAGGTTTGTCATTATTGATCGATAACAATAATTTTTCCACCTCTCCCACACTAACTTTACAAAATTCTAACGTACAATGCATTTTCTTTAATTATTTGTTTTTTAAATGCATGAATACGATGGCTCACTGTTCATTTTTTGGCATTTCCTGCCTAAGTTTGCCCACTTTGTCAATGAAGTAATCATTCAAATAACATTAAATGTTTTTGTGATGAAAAAGCCATCTGATGATGAAAGATGGAGTTGAATTTGTCTTTATGCCCATAATTTCATTTAAAGTACTACAAAGTTTTTTTTCCATCACTCTTTATATCATTGATCTTGGCTTCTAAATAGTGTTATCCTTACATGTCACATATATACACTTTACTGTAATTTAAGCATACAGTATTATATACTTATACAGTATTTTCTAACTCTAATTTAAGGAGTATGGACAACTGGAAATTCTAAGAATGTGAGACAGTATTCAAATACATTTTAGTCTCTTCCAGTATTATGTTGCGAGGCAAAAGAGTCCAGATGAGGACACATGAAGGAAATCATGAGACCTTCCAAGAGGTACAGTAGCCCATATAATTACATACAGTAATTTCATAGGATCTCTATGCAGTAGGGTAGGCAATGGTGTAAGTTACAGCTGAAATACTATTCTGATCACAACATTGCAGTCAATTATCTACAAATCACCTTGCATTCCAAATACTATTCATTATGGGAACAAGATTGGCAATTCGGCACCTAGCCTCGCTCAAACTGACCCCCTAAAACGTGCTGCTGCTCTTCATAAGGCCGGGCCAGGGCGTTCATCTCTGGTTATGTAATAGGAATGTTGACTTAAATAAAAATTAATGAACCACTTGTCTGTCTCTGCGAGATTACTCTAGTTGACAACGTACATCAGAATTTTAACAGACTACTGTAGTTGACAGTGTACAACAAAACCTAAACAACTCTGCTACAGTACATGGCTACCTGGCCGTTTCCATGGCTACCTGGCCGTTTCCATGGCTACCTGGCCGTTTCCAACGGGCTTCACTACCATGTCATAATAAAACTCATCATATGACAGAAATAATATAGTCTTACACATCATGAAAGAAAGTTTATATAAATTTATTATAAACACTGTACAAATCTAGACGATCTGATTTGGGCCTCATTTAGTGTTTAATGTCACTATATATACACACAACATGAAACAATGCAAACAGTAGAACCATACGGTGTTTGTTTTTCTAAAAAGTTTCAATTAAAATTCGACTTGTGTCAATTAAAATTTAACTTCTGTATTTCTGCAAGATCTAATAAATAAATAAAATATTGTAACATTGATTAAGTCAACAATTCCCCAATAGTGTCCCAATGGGACCAGAAGTCTACTCTAAAAACGTTGATTTCAATCATTGGAACCTACCAACATTGATTTCAATCATTGGAACCTACCAACATTGATTTTTGGACACAAATTGTTGTGCACTGTCAACTTAGTTTCTGATTCCAATCAAAATTTAAAAATGTATAATTCTTGGATATCTTGCATACTGTAATACTTTCAAAAATAAAATGATTATTAGCATTATATAGCCAGTGCATGCCAATGTGGTAAAAATGTTGCCAACTTGATACGTTATTGAACATTGGTATGTTACGTTTTGGAAAAGTATCCATTTTGAGCAGTAATACACATTGGTAAGACCTACAGATATTATGTAAGTGTGACACCAGTCAGTACGTAAGACGTGGATCTCTCAAAGCTAAGCTGGCTATAACAGGGTTCGGAAACACTCCTTAAAGACAGCTTAACAATCCGTTATGGATCTTTCTTCTCATCAGTAAAATAGACCAGACAAAAAAATAAGACAAAAACGTTCTCAGTGCAACAGTCATCATCTCTCCCTGAGAGGAGAGGAGCAGGAAGTAGACGAGGGGACCAAGATAATTGGCTGAAAACTCTGAAAGGAGGAAAGGATGGGAAGAACAGGAAAATAATATCAATACTTTGAACTATCACAACATGATCAATGATGCTCTTCTGATTAATCCACAATGAACATGAATCCTCATCTGTAGGTTGGATGGTCTCACGATGCTATCCTACCAAGTGTTGTTTATCAATCGGCTGCTGGAGGAATCCTAGAAACCGAGGCTATAGATAAATGCCTATAGGACTAATAAAGTTGCGGCCAAATGTATTGGCACCCTTGCACTTTTCTTAAATAATTCCCCATTTCTTCTAAATGAAGTTGAAATTAAAGAAAAAAGAACACCCTCCCTACAATTAAACATGTGGGAGGTTCAATAATGCTGTGGCATTGCTTTGCTGCCTCTGGTACTGGGGGCCTTCAACGGAATCAGCAGATTGATGTTCAACCCAGTGTCCAAAAACTGGGTCTCCATTGAAGGTTCTGGGTCTTCCAGCAAGACAACGACCCAAAACACACATCAAAAAGCACCCTGGAATGGTTCAAGAAGAGATGCTGGACTGTTCTGGAGTGGCCAGCGAAGAGTCCAGATCCGAATCACATCCAAAACCTACGGCGAGAGCTGAAAACAGCAGTTGGTGGAGGGTACCCCTCAAACATTGAATAATTAGAGCGGTTTTCTGCTGAAGAGTGGCCCAAATTGCCAGTTGAAAGGTGCAGCAAGCTCATTGATGGCTACAAGAAGAGTTTGTCTGCAGTTATCTTGGCCAAAGGCTGTGCAACCAAGTTAGCTCCGGGGTGCCAATAATATTGTCCATGCCATTTGTCCTAATTTTCTAAATAAAAAGTTTTCAATTTGAACTTATTTTAGAAGAAATAGGGAATGATTTCAAAAAAGTGTAAAGGTGCCAATATATTTGGCTGCAACTGTATGTAAACTAAACGATGATACCCAACTCACAGCATAGTCCTGGAGATACAGGGCTGCTGCTACAGGGTTTCCACAGCGGGTCTGCTGGGGCCAGGAGGATGAGGGAGGAAGGGCTGGGGAGGAGGTGTAGGTGGCCACCTCCTCGTCAAGACGTAGCTCCTTCAGAAGGGGGAGGCGCCGGCGGAGCAAGGCTGTAGCAGAACTCAGAGCACCGCTCTTTGGGAACATAATACTACCTGCAACGATACATGGTTACAGATCGATTAAACATGTATTTATAAAGCCCTTTCTGCATAATCAGTTGGATCAACCTGGATTAGACTCCAAAGAGCAAGCAGAAGCACAGTCAGCTAGTATATACTGACTGAGTCCTACCTCTGGGCTGGCTCAGGGGGACAAAGGCTGAGAGGTTGGTCAACCTGGTCAGGTCTGAGACTGCAGCTGTGACTTCAGGGATCTCTGGTGCAGAGGCTCTGTCTAACTCTGGTTGCAGTGGGAGGCTGTCCATCGCCTCCTGTGCTCCTGCAGCTCTGGCCCCTGCAGCACAATGCTCCAGGGGCCCATCTCGCTCCAGGGGCCCACCTCGCTCCAGGGGCCCACCTCGCTCCAGAAATCCGGCCACAGGGCTCTCCTGTTCGTGTGCTGGAGCTGCTCTGTGCAGCTTCTTGCCAGTTGAGAAGAAAATGACTGATTCTCTGTGTGGGGCTTGGAAGAAAGTCTGGAGTCGTCCTCCTGTGTTGCTTTGCTCCTCCTCCTTCGCCAGCTGTTGGTCTGCTCGCGTCTCAGCAGGATCTTGATCCAATGCCACACCGTCTGTCCGTTCTTCCTCCTCTTGGTCCTCAGTCTCCTTAAACAATCTCTGGACAACCTCCTGCCCCACACAAACATTTACATGTTAGTCATTTAGCAGACACTCTTATTCAGAGCGACTTACAAACACTGCATTCAACTAAAGTATGTCAACCCATCACAATCTTGGCAAGTAAATGCCACCTGTTAGCCCCCCTCCTCACCTCCTTGCATGTCTCCAGATCTCTGTTGTGGCCCTGGAGGCCCCTGAGTCTGGGAGAGCCTGAGTAGGGGGTCTGGTGGGCAGACAGGAGCCTCCTCTGAAAGAAGATGGCTCAGTGAGTTAGAGCATCCATGGTGCTGGCAATAACAGGGTTGTGAATTTAAGTATGCTCCCTCTAATTTGCTCTCTCTCCCTCCCATCCCGGATGACCTGAGCCCTAGGACCTGGCCTGATGACTCCTGACTGTCCCCAGTCCACCTGGTCGTGCTGCTGCTCCAGTTTCAACTGTTCTGCCTGCGGCTATGGAACCTGTTCACCGGACGTGCTACCTTGTCCCGGACCTGCTGTTTAAGACCCTTTCTTTACCGCACCTGCTGTCTCGACCTCTGAATGCTCGGCTATGAAAAGCCAACTGACATTTACTCCTGAGGTGCTGACCGGTTGCACCCTCTACATCCACTGTGATTATTATTTGACCCATCTTGAAGAACAATCTGGCCTTAATGGCCATGTACTCTTATAATCTCCACCCGGCACAGCCAGAAGAGAACTGGCCACCCCTCAGAGCCTGGTTCCTTTCTAGGTTTCTGCCTTTCTAGGGAGTTTTTCCTAGCCACCGTGCTTCTACATCTGCATTGCTTGCTGTTTTGGGGTTTTAGACTGGGTTTCTGAACCTGCTGATGTAAAACGGGCTTTATAAATACATTTGATTGATTGAACGAACCATGGGCAACATATACTGAATATTTCCACTTTAGTGTTGACAGTAAAAAATAATAATATCTAAAGACATAAGAGTCAGGGGTTTACTGGAACATACTAACCATGGACATGAGAGTCAGGGGTTTACTGGAACATACTGACCATGGACATGGGCTGATGCCTGGTGTCAGGGACCCGCTGGGGTGTCCACTTTAAGGCTGGGGTCTGGCTGACTGACGTCACTGAGGAGAGGGACAGACAGATAGATCATGTCATAAGGCAGACCCAAGAGGAGAGGGAGAAAAAGGTCAATATCTGGTTGAGATTTGGCAATAAAAATGGTAGCATATAACCAACGTACCCATAGGTCCTCCAGGTGCTTCAGTGTGCCACTTTGTGATGGGTACTCTCTGTGCCTGGAAAGGTAAAGCACCCATGAATGTTGTGTTATTCATCTGTAGAAGGTGGCTGCCTGTTTCATGCAGCACTAAGGAGACATGACAAGTAGGTACATGAGGACGTAGCATGGTAATGACTTTAAAAAGGTGCAATACACCGAAATCGCTCCGCTATTTCCTGGTTGCTAAAATTCTAAGTTTGCCTAATTTCAGTTTGTGACAAAACAAGCAGTCATTGTGTAGAGAAACATTGTATCTAAACCGCTGTGAAATATATTTTCCATAAGTATTTTCAGCTGCCAGGGTTCACACACATTTTGATAGATAGAAGTCATGGAAAAGTCATGACATTCCAACCAAATTTTTCCATGACCAACAATTGGAGGCCTCTATGTACAGTACATATAAAAAAAGTAAGAGTAATGTGGTATCAACACTGGGAGGCTGCTCTCTGATCTCATGTACCATCTCCTGTCTTTGAGCAAGGCACTTAACATCCCACAAAGTAGAATAACTGTTTGGCAACTATATAAAACACCTGGGCAACCCTCAATCTGGAAAGCTAGTTGGGTGCAGGCTTTTGATCAAGCCCTGCTCAAACACATCAGAGACAGTTTATCAAGGTCCGGATGAGCAGCTAATTTCTAAAATGTGGTTTGTTAAAGGGGAATAAAAGCCTGCACACCCATTAGCTCTCCTGGAGGATGGTTAACCACCCTTGATGCAAAACATTGCAACATTACACCCAAATATGTTTGATGCCTTTTTTAAATAACTAACTAATTTAATATATTAAAAGATCAAATGGCTATAGTAGGCTACAAATATTTGTATTAATCTGAAGCAAGCCCACACATTTTCTTCAGTCATATTTAGCTACCTTAGAAGTGTTTACATTGCAGGCTGACTATCATATATTGAGTTACAATGCCCCATACATTGGATGCCCAAATCAACTGAAAGTATCTACAAAACAACTTTTGAATCCACATAATCCAAAAGAAAGGCTAGGTCTAATATTTTTTCTAAAAATTAATGTTCACGATTCACAAATTATTTTGATTCACATGATTCGATTCAACTGATTCAAGGCGATTGAACCGAGTCCAACTAATCAAATAGCGATGTGAATCGTTCGCCTCATCAAAAATAATCATTTAAATTAATCATATGAATCGTTCAAAAAAGTAAATCAATTTTGCATTCGCGAGTGTCAGTGGAAAGTTTTTTGGGACATTGATGACATGACGAAAACATTTATAGCTTAACAGTTAACTAGAGGGTACAATATATGTTTTGAATTGTCAACCTACCTAGTTAGTCTGTTTTCTACCATATTTTATAGTCTAGGCCTATCCGCTGCTGCAATGTGCCGACTGCCTCTCTTCCTTGAGCAACGGCCCACTCGTCTCGTACGCATGTGATGCGTGCAAACGCAGAAGCGCTGAAGTGTAATTCCGTGCCTGGCTGATATGTTGATTTTTATTTGATTGTTAAAATATTTAAAAACTGTGGCTAAATAAATTACATTAACAGAAATTCAATTAATTTCCATAACTTTTCGGATTTTATCATTTTCCAAAACTTTTCCAGGCCTGGAAAAATACCATTTAAAAATGCCATTACTTTTCCAGGCCTTTCACGACCATTCAAACCCCTGCTGTTTGAAGCTGGTGTACAAAACCAAAAGTAAAAGATGCAAAAACTTAACTTACGAATGGGAAGCATAGAAAATGTGCAAATAGAACAGATCTACCGCTTCTTTGACTTGCTTTCAATAAGAATGACATATAACTCCCATTTCTATGTGAATTTGATTGGGTTGTCCAAAGAGTTACATATTGCAGCTTTAAATCTGAATTGTAATGTATACTGTTGTTTCCACCCTGGCTGGAGCAGCTTTATATGTATTTTTGTTATTATTAAATCAATCAATTGATTGATCAAAAGGTGACTGACAGTGTAGATGGAGGTGCCCCTGCCAGAGGGACAGGCAGAGGTGCGTTGGGGTGTGGCCTCCAGGGGTCTCCCAGCCTTCACCCTTTCATTCTGCAGGATGCTGCTGAGAGCTGCAGGGTCTGGGGAGAACTGAACACTCCGTACTGGACCTGGAACACAAAGTTACAGCCTTAATAGTTTGACAATTTTTTTCCTCTTCTTCACCATTTGAAGCTATAAAGCTTCTTTAAAATGCATGTTTTTGCATTATGACTATGAAGCAGTACTAATTTATTGCTGGGATTTCTAAACTTTGTTCTTCAAAACTTGCCCAAAGATGGGGATGCGTCCACCAGTACTACCACTGACCTGCAGAGGCTGCCGACTTCTGGCGACCCTTCATGACAGACACTCTCTGGGGCTGGAGAGGATAGCTGACCCCTTCATTCATGCTGCTGAGGGAGGAAGGCTCAGGGGAGAACTGAACAGACCTTACGGGACCTATAAACAATACAAGCACATACAAGGTTAGAGACTTGCTAGCCTATCCCAGCTTCCCTAGATTGAGCCGGAGTAGGGGTTTGAATTGGCTGGCTAATCAAACAGCTCAGTGCAAATTGTATAAAAAAATTAATAAAAAAAGGTGCTACGTATAACATTTACACCGGCTAATAGCCCTAAATGTCAACACTATATCAGCAGTACAAATCAAATTGTATGTCACATGCGCCGAATACAACAGGTGTAGACCTTACAGTGAAATGCTTACTTACAAGCCCTTAACCAACAATGCAGTTTTAAGAAAAATAAGTGTTAAGTAAAAAGATAGATAAGTAAAAAATAAAAATAAAAATAAATAATTAAAGAGCAGCAGTAAAATAACATAACAGTAGGGAGGCTATATACAAGGGGGTACCGGTACAGAGTCAATGTGCGGGGGCACAGGTTAGTCGAGGTAATTGAGGTAATACGTACATGCAGGTAGAGTTAAAGTGACAATGCATAGATAATAAACAGAGAGTGTCAACAGCGTAAAAGAGGGGGTGGATGAGGGAAAATCAATGCAAATAGTCCCAGGAGTCTTATGGCTTGGGGGTTAGACTCTGTTAAGAAGCCTTTTGGACCTAGACTTGGAGCTCCGGTACCGCTTGCCGTGCAGTAGCAGAGAGAACAGTCTATGACTAGGGTGGAGTCTTTCACAATTTTTAGGGCCTTCCTCTGACACCGCCTGGTATAGAGGTCCTGGATGGCAGGAAGCTTGGCCCCAGTGATGTACTGGGCCGTACGCACTACCCTCTGTAGTGCCTTGCGGTCGGAGGCCGAGCAGTTGCCATACCAGGCAGTGATGCAACCAGTCAGGATGCTCTCGATGGTGCAGCTGTAGAACATTTTGAGGATCTGAGGACCCATGTCAAATATTTTCAGTCTCCTAAGGGGGAATAGGCTTTGTTGTGCCTTCACGACTGTCTTGGTGTGTTTGGACCATGATAGTTTGTTGGCGATGTGGACACCAAGGAACTTGAAGCTCTCAACCTGCTCCACTACAGCCCCGTCAATGAGAATGGGGGTGTGCTCGGTCCTCCTTTTCCTGTAGTCCACAATAATCTCCTTTGTCTTGATCACGGTGCTGGCACCACACTGCCAGGTCTCTGACCTCCTCCCTATAGGCTGTCTCATCATTGTCGGTGATCAGGCCTACCACTGTTGTGTCGTTGGCAAACTTAATGATGGTGTTGGAGTCGTGCCTGGCCATGCAGTCATGGGTGAACTGGGAGTACAGGAGGGGACTGAGCACACACCCCTGAGGGGCCCCCGTGTAGAGGATCAGCGTGGCAGATGTGTTGTTACCTACCCTTACCACCTGGGGGCGGCCCGTCAGGAAGTCCAGGATCCAGTTGCAGAGGGAGGTGTTTAGTCCCAGGATCCTTAGCTTAGTGATGAGCTGTGAGGGCACTATGGTGTTGAATGCTGAGCTGTAGTCAATGAATAGCATTCTCACGTAGGTCTTCCTCTTGTCCAGGTGGGAAAGGGCAGTGTGGAGTGCAATAGAGATTGCATCATTTGTGGATTTGTTGGGGCTGTATGCAAATTGGAGTGGGTCTAGAGTTTCTGGGATAATGGTGTTGATGTGAGCCATGACCAGCCTTTCAAAGTACTTCATGGCTACTGACGTGAGTGCTACGGGTCTGTAGTCATTTAGACAGGTTAGCTTAGTGTTCTTGGGCTCAGGGACTATGGTGGTCTGCTTGAAACAAGTTGGTATTACGGACTCAGTCAGGGACAGGTTGAAAATGTCAGTGAAGACACTTCCAAGTTGGTCAGCGCATGCTCGGAGTACACATCCTGGTAATCAGTCTGGCCTTGTGAATGTTGACCTGTTTAAAAGGTCTTACTCACATCGGCTACGGAGAGCGTGATCACACAGTCGTCCGGAACAGCTGATGCTCTCATGCATGCTTCAGTGTTGCTTGCCTCGAAGCGAGCATAGAAGTAATTTAGCTCGTCTGGTAGGCTTGTGTCACTGGGCAGCTTGCGGCTGTGCTTCCCTTTGTAGTCTGTAATAGTTTGCAAGCCCTGCCACATCCGACGAGCGTCGGAGTCTGTGTAGTACGATTAAATCTTAGTCCTGTATTGACGCTTTGCCTGTGATGGTTTGTCGGAGGGCATAGCAGGATTTCTTATAAGTGTCCGGGTTAGAGTCCCGCTCCTTGAAAGTGGATGTTGCGTGTAATCCATGGCTTCTGGTTGGGGTTATGTACGTACGGTCACTGTGGGGACGACGTCATCGATGCACTTATTGATGAAGCCAGTGACTGATGTGGTGTACTCCTCAATGCCATCGGAAGAATCCCGGAACATATTCCAGTCTGTGCTAGCAAAACAGTCCTGTAGTTTAGCATCTGCGTCATCTGACCACTTCTTTATTGACCGAGTGATATTATGTTTTTATGGTATAATGATGTCATGCCATAGTGTTGTGAGGACAGAGGAAGAGTTAAGAGATGAGTGGTTTGGGGCCATGAAGTCTACATTCCATTATGTCAAGGTAGATTAGTGATGTTTAGGATAGCATGAGTGATGTTTAAGATACTGACTTGGGGTAAAAAGTGATGAACATCAAAGGCAGGGAGTGCCCATGGAGACTTGCCAGATGTATGCCAGCAGAAGGGTAATAAAGGGTATATAAAGGTAGAGGGTCTTCTTGGTTAAGTTAGTCCAACTGATGAAGGGCAAAGCCATGTCCGTTTGTTAGATGAACCCACGAGCTCGTGATTCAATAAATACTTGGTATGAAATCTCCACAGAATGTCTAAGTATATTCTTGCATCCTTGATTCTTTGATACCTGAGAAACTCATAAGACGAGTCACTGGTTTTTGCTTGTAAGCAGGAAACAGGAGGATAGAATTATGGTCAGATTTGCCAAATGGAGAGCGAGGGAGAACATTGTACGCGTCTCTGTGTGTGGAGTAAAGGTGGTCTAGAGTTTTTCTTCCCTCTGGTTGCACATTTAACATGCAGGTAGAAATTAGGTAAAACGAATGTAAGTTTCCCTGCATTAAAGTTCCCGGCCACTAGGAGCGCCGCCTCTGGATGAGCATTTTCCTGTTTGCTTATGGCCTTATACAGCTCATTGAGTGCGGTCTTAGTGCCAACATCGGTTTGTGGTGGTAAATAGACAGCTACGAAAAAAATGGATGAAAACTCTCTTGGTAAATAGTGTGGTCTACAGCTTATCATGAGATACTCTACATCAGGCGAGTAAAACCTTGAGACTTCCTTAATATTAGATTTCGTGCACCAGCTGTTGTTTACAAATATACACAGACCGCCACCCCTTGTCTTACCAGAGGCGGCTGTTCTATGATTGTATGTAGGCTAATAGGACTGATGGTAGAGGCAGATTACCCACTCGTCGTCGGATCCTTACAAGACACCCCGACCTACGTCCCCAATATCTCAGTCTCTTTCTCCTGCGAATGACGGGGATGTGGGCCTTGTCGGGTGTCTGAAGTAAATCCTTTGCGTCCGACTCGTTAAAGAAAAAATCTTTGTCCAGTACGAGGTGAGTTATCGCTGTCCTGATATCCAGAAACTATTTTCGGTCGTAAGAGACGGTGGCAGAAACATTATGTATAAAATAAGTTACAAATAACGCAAAACAAAACACACACAATAGCACAATTGGTTAGGAGCCCGTAAAACGGCAGCCATCTCCTCTGGCGCCAATTTGCATACATCTGCGATGTGTCCAGTAGTACTACCACTGACCTGCAGAAGCTGCTGTCATCTGGTGACCCTTCATGACAGACACTCTCTGGGGCTGGAGAGGATAGCTGACCCCTTCATTCTGCAGGATGCTGCCCAGGGCCGCAGGGTCAGGATAGAACTGAACATTCCTGACAGGACCTAATGCAATACAAGAACATAAAGTATACCAAACAGCAAATTGTATTTTTATAAGATGCTCCAGTACATGAAACAGTTCCACCTGTAAATCTACATAATATAAAGGAATGCAAATTCACAAGAGAAAAACTACAATGACCAGCAGAGGGCACTGTCTTCTGGCCACTCTTCATGATGGATACTCTCTGGGGCTGCGAAGAAAAGAACACCTCTAGTTAGTTCATTGGCAAAAATCATTACCATCCAGACCTGAGTTCAAATAGTATTTGATTTCTTTCAAATACTTTGAATGTTTGCTGCTATTCCATTGGTTCAATTGCAACATGCAACCTCAAACATACAGTGGGGGAAAAAAGTATTTAGTCAGCCACCAATTGTGCAAGTTCTCCCACTTAAAAAGATGAGAGAGGCCTGTAATTTATCATCATAGGTACACGTCAACTATGACAGACAAAATGAGAAAAGAAAATCCAGAAAATCACATTGTAGGATTTTTTATGAATTTATTTGCAAATTATGGTGGAAAATAAGTATTTGGTCAATAACAAAAGTTTCTCAATACTTTGTTATATACCCTTTGTTGGCAATGACACATGTCAAACGTTTTCTGTAAGTCTTCACAAAGTATTCACACACTGTTGCTGGTATTTTGGCCCATTCCTCCATGTAGATCTCCTCTAGAGCAGTGATGTTTTGGGGCTGTCGCTGGGCAACACGGACTTTCAACTCCCTCCAAAGATTTTCTATGGGGTTGAGATCTGGAGACTGGCTAGGCCACTCCAGGACCTTGAAATGCTTCTTACGAAGCCACTCCTTCATTGCCCGGGCGGTGTGTTTGGGATCATTGTCATGCTGAAAGACCCAGCCACGTTTCATCTTCAATGCCCTTGCTGATGGAAGGAGGTTTTCACTCAAAATCTCACGATACATGGCCCCATTCATTCTTTCCTTTACACGGATCAGTCGTCCTGGTCCCTTTGCAGAAAAACAGCCCCAAAGCATGATGTTTCCACCCCCATGCTTCACAGTAGGTATGGTGTTCTTTGGATGCAACTCAGCATTCTTTGTCCTCCAAACACGACGAGTTGAGTTTTTACCAAAAAGTTCTATTTTGGTTTCATCTGACCATATGACATTCTCCCAATCCTCTTCTGGATCATCCAAATGCACTCTAGCAAACTTCAGACGGACCTGGACATGTACTGGCTTAAGCAGGGGGACACGTCTGGCACTGCAGGATTTGAGTCCCTGGCGGCGTAGTGTGTTACTGATGGTAGGCTTTGTTAATAATTTGCAAATAAATTCATTAAAAATCCTACAATGTGATTTTTCTGGATTTTTTTTCCTCAATTTGTCTGTCATAGTTGACGTGTACCTATGATGAAAATTACAGGCCTCTCTCATCTTTTTAAGTGGGAGGACTTGCACAATTGGTGGCTGACTAAATACTTTTTTCCCCCACTGTAGCTATGGCATTATTTGAAAACACAAACAAATACTAACTCACTACAACCGACCCAAAATCCTGGTACCTCATTCCACAGGACAACTCACCATGTTGTAATAGGCTTGTGTAGAGGGACGGCTGGACATAAAAACCTTGGCTGCACTGACTCCCTCATTCTGGAGGATACTACGTAGGGCAGAGGGGTCAGAGTGGAAGGCAGCCGCCACACTCCCTGGAACACACACAGTACAATGGAACACATTTACAATTTCAAAAAGAAAATGTATGAAATGAAGAGCCTAAGCAGAGAGAGAAAGAGTGGGGAGAGACAGACTATATAGGCATAATAGTATTAGAGAGAGAGAGGCTGAGGAGGTTTGAGCTCTGAAATGTTATCATACCATCGGTAATAAAAACCATTCTCACCAGCGGTACTACTTGGTAACTGCCCAGGCATGGAAGGATCTTTGAGGCTGAGCATGTCAAAATGGCCCCTACAGGCTTCCGTACTGAGGGCAGTGGGCTGGGCTGAGGCAGTGGAGGCACTACTAATTGAGAAAGCACTGGACGAAAGACCTGAGCCGTGAGCAAATGAACTGGGAGGTCTGGAAAGACCAAGTTGTCCCAATCCAGATACGTGCAATGGATTTTCTGAAGAAGACTGGGCTTTTAGTTTTGGATGTTGAGACAAAGACATGGAGGTGGCAGCACTGGGAGCCTGGGTCAGATGAGGCTTCCTTGTCTCTCTATTTTGCTGTGGCAAGATGCCTCCAGGCCCTTGACCTGCTTTTCTAGCTGCCAAGTGTAGTGCATGTGTTGGGATTTGAGCAGCAAGCTCTACAGTTGACTTTGATTGGGCCTTGTTATGAGTTGTTGGGACGGTACTGGGCAGTGTGGCAGTGGTTGATGTGGGTCTTGTTTTTAGATGGCCAGCAATGCTAAAAGTACTTTCAGGTTGGGTGGGTTGAGCACCAGCCCTTGCAGTAGTAGCCAGCGGTCCCCTCTGGTTCTGTGCCCCCATTCGGTTGGCCTTGGGATTAGAGAAGTTGAAAGGCACAGGCTTGGTGCTTGGTTTCTTCCTCTTGGTTTTACCCTAAAGGAAAACAGAGACATACAGAAACTAATTATTATTTAGCACTGATAAGTAGTGCTTGGGAGAGACACATTCAGGGCAGGTTTCCCAGACCCAGATTAATCCTAATCCTGGACTAAGAAGCACTTTCAATGTTTAATACCCAGTGAGTCTGCTTTCTAGTCCAGGAATATGCTTAATATGGGTCCTGGAAACCAGCCCTTAGTGATGCAGTTGATTGGGGAAAAGATGTTCCTTACTGCTAGAGAGTTCTCCTCCCATCTCTTGTGTGACAGGGTGAAGTCAGAGGGAGTCTGAAGGGGCAGGGACTTGGCCAGCACTGGCAGCCTGCTGATGCCCAGTGGTCTTACAGGGGGCTTGGTACTGTTGTCTGAGACTGCTGCTGGGTCCTTGTTCTCAGACCCCAGTTTGGTAGGATGGCCGTGGGGTACAGAGGGGTGTTTGGAAGGGTGGGGTAAAGATGGGTGTTTAGAGCCTGGCTTTGGGTCTGCTGTCATTCTGTTGAGACTGGAGAGGGACAGTCAATGTAGAGAGTGTAGACATATATACTTTTCAGGCAGTGTATCCACAGTGTTGTTTTTAATTCAGGTTCAGCTATAGACAGTGGCCATGCATCATTAGGGAGACACAACCACCAAAATAACGCACAATAGACGAGTTGTGTTCATACTCTGTAGGCCTACCTTGAATGGTCGTTCAGGATTTTGTTCTGACTTTGCTGACGCAGTACTTGAGAGGAATCCATGTTGGCTCATTCAGAGGTTCAACAATGTTCTGTAAATAACAAACCTGAACCAAATGTTAGTAAACATAATTCTGTACCGCAGCATGCTAGCTAACGCAGCTGGCAAGAGAGTATTGATAGCTACGCTTTTTTGAGATAAAAACAGCAACAACATTGATGAATTGCTCGATTGCTTTACTGTAGCTAGCTAACTTAACTTATCTCTTGCAAGCAAAGAACACATTGCAATCTTCTAGCTTATTCCTTAAAAAACACCACAAAACGTTGAACAATTTAAACGGTACTGCTAGTTTACTACTTGATTCATGACATGACAAGAGATAATCTGACTTTACTTACATGCAAACTTCAAAATAGCGAATTGTTGGCTTGCTTCCAAAAATGTATTCTGTAAATTTCGAAGAAAATATGAAATATATCCCAGACTTTGCTCTGTTTTCACCACAAAACATGCCTGAGAAGAAGACAACCTCAAAACTTCCTGGACATGCGTCAGTTTGTAAAAAGCACGTATTTTCATTGGTTAAACGACAAACACCATAAGCCAATCGCTGCGAAAGTTTATTCTGCGGCCGTATTTCCTGTGACCAATCAACAACAAGCGTGTAAAAAAAACTCCATGGAAACGACGCACGAAGCTTCACAACTTGGTGCGGGGTTACGTTTACATTTCGATTGTGAGTTTTGACGGTGGTGGAGCTGTCCTCAAAAAGTTAATATTTCCCAATACAATCCTATCGCCGAGTTTTTATCCCCCAATCCTCCAATTTCGTCTATACTGATGAGCTTCCACTTTCAGATTTTACTTCTATTTTCAGGGCTTCTTAGAAATAATAACAATGCCATGTAAATTGATATGAGGATGAGGTTGATGATGATGTGCCATTGCCATTTCATATGGTGGGATGATGCCACTGTTTTCATAGACATCTTATACAGGGACAGTTGGGTCTGAAATTATTAACACCCCTAAAGATTCTTATACAAAAAAAAAAAAAAAAAAAAAAAACGAATAAAAATAATAAAAATAATAATAAACACAACATGTAAAGTCTTGGTCCCATGTTTCATGAGCTGAAACAAAAGATCCCAGAATGATTCAATACACACAACAAGCTTATTTCTCTTACATTTTGTGCACAAATTTGTTTACATCCCTGTTAATTAGCATTTCTCATTTGTCACGATAATCCATCCACCTGACAGGTGTGGCATATCAAGAAGCTAATTAAACAGCATGATCATTACACAGGTGTACCTTGTGCTGGGGACAATAAAAGGCCACTCTAAAATGTGCAGTTTTGTCACACAACACAATGCCACAGATGTCTCACGTTTTGAGGAAGCGCGCAATTCGCATGCTGACTGAAGGAATGTCCACCAGAGCTGTTGCCAAATAATTGAATGTTCACTTCTCTATCATAAGCCGCCTCCAACGTTGTTTTAGAGAATTTGGCAGTGTCATTTGAAATCCATAGATTAGGGCCTAATGAATGTATTTCAATTGACTGATTTCCTTACATGAACTGTAACTCAGTAAAAATCTTTGAAATTGTTGCATGTTGCATTTATACTTCTGTTCAGTAAATAAAGTAGTCGAAAGTTTAGTATTTGGTCCCATATTCCAAACACGCAATGACTCTACAAACTTGTTGGATGTATTTGCAGTTTGTTTAGGTTGTGTTTCAGATTATTTTGTTCCTAATAGAAATGAATGGTAAATAATGTATTGTGTCATGTTGTAGTCAATTTGATTGTAAATAAGAATATAATATGTTTCTAAACACTTCGACATAAATGTGGATGCTCCCATGATTACGAATAATCCTGAATGAATCGTGAATAATGATGAGTTCGAAAGTTACAGAGGGTCAAAGATCATACCACCAAGAAATGCTAACCTTTCACCATTACCGTTAGCATGTCTTGGGGGTAGAATCGTTGAACCAAATACCAAACTTTTGACTGCTTTATTAATAAGAATCTTTAAGGGGTGTCAATAATTGTAATGCCTACCTCAGATTTTTTTTCAATTAATTGTTAAACAAAATCTCTTTCTCTGAGCAATTGTATTAGCATACAATAAAGCTCAGTATTTGAATAATTTATTTTATACAGTCATTATTGCTCATCTTTATCAAGGGTGTCAGTAGCGTCGTATCCACTGTATTATTGTATAGTTGCATTTGCAATACAGCTCTCCTGTAATTGTCCTTTTTGGTCAGAAGGTGTCTCTGTTAACACATTTTTGATACAGTGCCTTGCAAAAGTATTCAGCCCTCTGCGTTTTTCCTATTTTGTTGCATTACAACCTGTAATTTAAATTGATTTTTATTAGGATTTTATGTAATGGACATACACAAAATAGTCCAAATTGGTGAAGTGGAATGAAAAAAATAACTTGTTTCAAAAAAATATAAATAAAAAATAACAGAAAAGTGGTGCCTGCTATGAAGCCCCTAAATAAGATCTGGTGCAACCAATTACCTTCACAAGTCACATAATTAGTTAAATAAAGTCCACCTGTGTGCAATCTAAGTTTCACATGATCTGTCACATGATCTCAGTATATATACACCTGTTCTGAAAGGCCCCAGAGTCTGCAACACCACTAAGCAAGGGGCATCACCAAGCAAGCGGCACCATGAAGACACAGGAGCTCTCCAAACAGGTCAGGGACAAAGTTGTGGAGAAGTACAGATCAGGGTTGGGTTATAAAAAAATATCAGAAACTTTAAACATCCCACGGAGCACCATTAAATCCATTATAAAAAAATGGAAAGAATATGGCATCACAACAAACCTGCCAAGAGAGGGCCGCCCACCAAAACTCACGGACCAGGCAAGGAGGGCATTAATCAGAGAGGCAATAAAGAGACCAAAGATAACCCTGAAGGAGCTGCAAAGCTCCACAGCGGAGATTGGAGTATCTGTCCATAGGACCACTTTAAGCCGTACACTCCACAGAGCTGGCCTTTATGGAAGAGTGGCCAGAAAAAAGCCATTGCTTCAAGAAAAAAATAAGCAAACACGTTTGGTGTTCGCCAAAAGGCATGTGGGAGACTCCCCAAACATATGGAAGAAGGTACTCTGGTCAGATGAGACTAAAATTTAGCTTTTTGGCCATCAAGGAAAACGATATGTCTGGTACAAACCCAACACCTCTCATCACCCCGAGAACACCATCCCCACAGTGAAGCATGGTGGTGGCAGCATCATGCTGTGGGGATGTTTTTCATCGGTAGGAACTGGGAAACTGGTCAGAATTGAGGGAATGATGGATGGCGCTAAATACAGGGAAATTCTTGAGGGAAACCTGTTTCAGTCTTCCAGAGATTTGAGACTGGGACGGAGGTTCACCTTCAAGCAGGACAATGACCCTAAGCATACTGCTAAAGCAACACTTGAGTGGTTTAAATGTCTTGGAATGGCCTAGTCAAAGCCCAGTCCTCAATCCAATTGAGAATCTGTGGTATGATTTAAAGATTGCTGTAAACCAACGGAACCCATCCAACTTGAAGGAGTTGGAGGAGTTTTGCCTTGAAGAATGGGCAAAATCCCAGTGGCTAGATGTGCCAAGCTTATAGAGACATACCCCAAGAGACTTGCAGCTGTAATTGCTGCAAAAGGTGGCTCTACAAAGTATTGACTTTGGGGGGGTGAATAGTTATGCACACTCAAGTTCTGTTTTTTTGTCTTATTTCTTGTTTTTTTCACAATAAAAAAATATTTTGCATCTTCAAAGTGGTAGGCATGTTCTGTAAATCAAATGATACAACCACCCAAAAAATCTATTTTAATTCCAGGTTGTCAAAATAAGAAAAATGCCAAGGGGGGTGAATACTTGTCACATCCATTAAATTATTCAGTATAAAAAAAGCAGGATAATACCTTGAATTAGTTCTTAATTTCGTCAAACAACACTGAAAAGATGCAAGGATTGGATAGTTTACTTTACACACACACCACAGGCACGCACCTGGCCCCCCGAGCCTACATCTCTACATATAGTTTAAACTGACTGCGGAAACAGGAAATAGAGAGACCACAGAAGCTGTTTGCATTAGTTTCCACTCTACAACTCAGTCTTCTCTGTTTTCATACTGTACCCATTTATTAATACAACTGTCTGTCTGGCCGCCTGTCTGCCCAACTGTCTGTCTGGCCGCCTGTCTGCCCACCTGTCTGTCTGCATGTCTGTCTGACATTACAAAGAGGGAGAGAAGCGTTGAATGCTATCATAAGTTGAATGCACCAATTTGTAAGTCGCTCTGGATAAGAGCATCTGCTAAATGATGTAAATGTAAATGTAAATGTAAGAGCAAAACTATATTCCAACACATTTAGTAAATATATTTACAGAATTCATTTTGTGAGAGGAAAGCCATCTTCATCTTGTGATCTTTTGAGAAGAAATTCTCAACAAACAAAAACACTTGTGGTTATTCTGTTCTTCATTAAAACATGGAGACTTGTTATCAACATACCGTGAGATGCTGTGATGGAATACTATTGTTATAATACATTGACTACCAACGATGCGTCTAATTGTTTACTACCAACTTGGTGGGAGAAAAACATTTAAATGACTAATGCCACGTATCTTGATGATTCCTTTATCCCATCCATGCTTTTCCAACAGCTAGACAGAACGTTCACATTGACGCCACCTAAAAGATGAATTCATACTCGCTCCAAGTCTTTTCCACCTTTTCCATTACAAAACCACTAATGAAACACACAGTTGGTGACACAGTTGTTCCTTCTAGAGGAGGAGAACCATTTCCTCTCACTGGATGTCCATGCCTCCATTAGAGGCCTGTGAGAGACGTCTCTCTCCTCCACAGCCTGACCCTGCACCACTGCTGTCCACATTCTCCTTGCTCTCCTCATCCTGCGCCTCTGACCGCTGTCTCAGACGCAGGCCGGGATCTCTCTGAGACGGCATCTGGAAACTGGAGAACGAACCTCCAGAAGATCTCTTCTCTGAAAGGAAACAA